GACTTTCTCTGCCAGTCTGTGAACTCTTCGGTGCTCACTGGGCCAAGGGGACTTCAGGAGCGGCCACTCAAACCACACTGAGCTGTTCTCTCCTCCACGGCCCGTGCTGGTGAAGCCCTGCCCGTCGGATCACTGGACTCAGTCCCGCTGGGCACAGGAGCCATCTCCTTGGGCACGGGGCAGCTGCCAGCAGGCAGGAGCCATCACTGCTTTGTGTGTTCAGGACACTGCTTCTGAGCAGCCCAGCAGCCCCTTTCCTCCTTGCACCCCCGTGTCCTGGCTCTGCTGTGACCCAGGGTGGTGAAAAGCTCTGCCCTCCCTCACTCCCCACACGTGCACTCGATTTTCACCTCCACGTAGCACCAGCTGTGCTGGTCCCAGCCTCAGCCTGGCTGAGCCCCTGGGATGGTGCTGAGCTCCCCGTGTCCCCCCTCACTGTCCCCACGCCACAGCCCACATGGATGTGCAGGCAGCAGCCTCTGGAGGGTCATGATGCCCCCCATCCCTCAGGCCTGGCCGCCTCTCTCCCCTTTCTGTGTTTTTTGAGCTGTGTAACTGCACCCTGCCTGGTTTTCTGCACAGCTCGGGGTTGCAGCAGAGCAGGCAGGGCCCAGGCTGTGTCCTGCTGCCTGGGGCTGTGTGTCACCCATGGGGGAAAACCAAGAGATGTCCCAGTTTGGCTGTAGCAGTGCTGCTGCCTGGTCCCTGCCCTGCCAGAGCACCGTGGCTCAATTCCCCTCAACTGCCCCAAAAACCAACAGCAACCTCAGGCCCAGTGTGGGGTTGGCCCCGAGGGCCCCAGCAGAGTGTTGGCTGAGCTGGTGGTGGCCCTGTGCCCCTGTCCCCTGGCTGTGCCAGCAGCGTGGGAGCAGGGGCGGGGGTTGGTGCTGGGTGGGATCTGGGGCTGAGCCCCAGGGAGGGGGGTGGATGGGCAGCACCAGAGCGGCAGCAAATCACACCATGAAAATAAAAATAACTAAAACAAAACCCTCCCAGACTACTGATGGTGTCAGTGCCCCCAGCAGCAGTCTGTGCCCAGGCCTCCTACCCCGTGGGCAGCCCCTGGCACCCCAGCGTGACCTGGGGTCATGCTCGGTGTCCCCAGCTGTGCTGGGTGGGTGAGTCCAGCACCCAGGTGGGACCTGGGCTTGGGCTGGGGTGGGATCAGCTGGATTTGGCCCCAGGAGGAGCATTTTGGCAGCAGAGCGAGGTGAGGGACAGGCAAAGGCAGAGTCTGGCTGCAACATGAAGGAGCAGGATGAGCCCCCCAAGCTGCCTGGGGCTTCTTCCACAGGAGAAACCCCAACAATTCCACGTGTGCCGTTCAGGCAGAACACTTCCATTTCCCACGGAGCTGTGGGATGAGACAAGACCCCAGTTTAGCTCAGTTCACTGCTCCTTGATGCCACTGGGCACGGCTGCTTGCAGGATCAAGCCCATGACTGTGAGAAGAAGCTGTTGGGAGTCTGGAATGACTTTTCCCCCCCCCAAATCAAGGCAGTGCCGCTGTGCTGGCCGGAGCAAAGGAGTGTGAGCAGCCAGAGGTGGGACAAGGGTGGAGGCAGAGACTGCTCTCAGCTCCTTGGGAGGAGCCATCTGGGAGCGGTAGTAACTCCAACCCTGCTGAATGTGCAGATTTTGGGCTGCGTGGAGGCTGTTGGAGTCGGGGACCACTAGATGGTGATGTCTGTACGTGCTCTGTCAGAGCTTTCCAGCTTTCTGGGCTGCTTAATGACCAAATCCCACTTTGCAGAGGGACATTTCCCCCGTGGAGGTTTCCAGGGAGCAGGGACTCCCTGAGACCCACCCCACAGACACAGCTCCTGCAGCAACACTTCGTCCCAGGGTTCTTTGAAATGCTGTTTTTATTCCTGAAGCGCTGAGGTGGCCCCCTCTTCTTGGAGCCCAGGAATGCATCAACTCCTTTTGTAAACTGCTTTCTGTAAATAAACCCAAAATGAGTGAAGGCATCTCCTGGTGCAGCCAGGAGATAGTTTAAGGTGCACGTTGTGCCATCCATACCCCAGGAATGGGCTTTCCATGTCCCTAGGACATGTTCTGAAGTGAAACACATCTCCCTATTGATTCTAGGGAAGTTGGTCAATGCTGGGAAAGAGTCTCATCTACCTCAGTAGAAATCTACTTCCCAGGCCAGAACTGGAAGGATGTGGCTGTGGAGGGTGAATATATGGGCACTTTGGGATTGTTCAGGATCTGGACAGAAAGATTAGGATTTGGGGAAGATGAGGAGAAAGAGCTGGAATTAAAAACAAAAAGCTGACATTTCCCAGGGGACAAAATCCCGGGATAATTCAGGTTGGAAAGGACATCAGGAGGTCTCTAGTCCAACTTCTTGCTCGAAGCTGGGTGAGCTGTGAGATCAGGCTGAGTTGCTCTGGGATTTATCCATTATGGGATCTCCATGTGTCTGTGCACAGGGAGCAGTGTGGAGGGAGGTGATGGGTGGTGAACGGCCATGGAAAGAGAATTAAATCCTCCCTGGCCTCAGCATCCCACCCTGCCAGAGGGGAGGGAGTTTCACTGCATTACTGTGGCTACAACCTTTTAGATCCTGAGGTGGAAGGAGTGGGGGAAAGGCAAAGGAGTTGCTATTATTATTATTAATAACCTTTTTTTGGCAGGTCTCTCTGCACTCACTGCCAGCAGGCAGAGGAGCTTTCCAACACTGTCTTGTTGGAAACAAGAGGACACGGCCACTGCGGATAATCTGAGCTCTGACCTGCTCATGCTGGAGAACCACTTGACCTCAGAGCCACTGGAGGTGCCAAGTCTGGCTGCTGTGGGTGGTGTCCCCCCTGGCTGCCCTTTCACTGTCATTCCCAAGGTCCTGAAATCTCCCTGGAGAGCCGGTCCCTGCTGCTGGCAACACACCCTGCTCCATTCAAACATTGCCCAGGCCCTTCCTCGGGGTACAAAGGTGACAGCCAGGACCTCAACCCCATCCTGGGCTCCACAGCCAGAGGGGTTCACCTGCCCAGCAAGGGGAAGCTGGAAGCCTTAGGACACAGGGAGATAAGGGGAGGTTCTGAGGTCTTTTTCCTTGGGGGAAGCCTAGAAATCTGTGGAGACCAACAGAGGAGTTCAAAGGCTCCTGCATGCCTGAACTGGTGAGGAGGACATGATGTTAACACCAGGCAAGTGAATCCCTTAAGACACTGCAGTGGGTTCCCAGCCACATGGGATAACCACGGAGGAGTCTCTGGGGGTGAGGGACTTGTTGCCCCCCTAGCAGTAAAATCCTCCTCCTCTGTCTCAGCAGGGTCTTGTACCTTATTTTTGTTGCCCAAGTGCCACAGAGGCATCATGCTCTGGTGGGGGGTTGTGCCCAACGAAGTGAGTCCAAATTCTCACTTTTTCTCTTTTTTCCAAATGTTCCTGGCTGCAAGAGCAGAGGCCAAACTCTTCCCTTACCAGGTGGGACCCAGGAGTTGACCTTACCTTCTTTGGCTAATGCTAAAATGCAGGGAATTGTCCTCCCTTCCAGATACTCAGCCAGCACCCAGCAAAAAAAAAAAAAAAAATGGGGATGGATCCCCATGGCATAACTTGTCCAGATCTGGGACTGCTGGGATCTCCCCTCCCTTTGAGCTCTGCGAGGGTAGGACAAGGCTCTGACCACTCTCCTCCTCTCCAGCCCCTGGGAAAAGTGACTCAGGCAGCTTCAATTGTGTGGATTCCAGTTCCACAGCCCAATAACGCCCTCTTTTGTCCCCTGGCTGCCACCCGCGGGAGCGCAGCGACTGCACGGCCGGCACGGATGGATTGGGACTCCCTTCAGGGGGGTGGCAGAAAGAAGCCCCACAAAATTCAGCGAGAGCTGTTTTTCCCTTCTCCCTGCGCCTTCCTTTGTGGGCACTGCCCGCATCTCAGCCAGGAACAAAACCATGGAATCCCAGGATGGGTGGGAAGGGACCTTAAAGCCCATCCAGTGCCACCCCCTGCCACGGGCAGGGACACCTTCCACCAGCCCAGGTTGCTCCAACCCTAATCCAACCTGGCCTTGGGCACTTCCAGGGGCAGCCACAGCTTCTCTGGGAAATCCATTCCACCCTCACAGGGAAGAATTTCTTCCCAATATCCCATCTAACCCTGCCCTCTGGCAGTGGGAAGCCATTCCCCCTTGTCCCATCACTCCAGGCCCTTGTAAACAGTCTTTCTCTGTCCTTCTTGTCATCCCCTCCCAGCAGTGGGATCAGGGAGAGAGCTGGAAGTGTGAAAACTGGAAAACTCGTGGGTTGAGAGACAGTTTAAAAGGGAAAGCAACAGCCGTGTACACAAGTAAAGCAAAATAAAGAATTCATCCCCTGCTTCCCGTGGGAGTTCACCTGTCGGCTCTGCTCGGGTGAGACCCCCCTGCAGAGCTGCCCCAGCCCTGGGGAACAGCACAGGGAGGACGTGGAGCTGCTGGAGAGAGTCCAGAGGAGGCACCAGGATGGGCAGAGGGATGGGGCAGCTCTGCTGGGAGGAAAGGCTGGGAGAGCTGGGATTATTCAGCCTGGGGAAGAGAAGCTTTGGGGTGACCTGATTGTGACCTTGCAGGACCTGAAGGGGCTACAGGAAACATGGAGAGGGAATATTTACATGGGATGGAATGGCAGGACAAGGGGGAAAGGCTTCACATTGACAGAGGGCAGGGTTAGATGGGATACTGGGAAGGAATTATTGACTGTGAGGGTGGGGAGGGGCTGGAACGGATTCCCCAGAGAAATGGGATCCCTGGAAGTGTCCAAGGCCAGGATGGAGCAACCTGGACTAATGGAAGGTGTCCCTGCCCATGGCAGCGGGTGTCCCTGGACGCTGTTTAATGTCCCTTCCCGCCTACCCCACCCCGCTATTCAGTGAAATTCGATTTAAACTCCGACAAAGGAACGTCCGGGGCCGTTTCCCGCCCTTTCCCCTCAGTGCTGCCCCTCCCTCCCCACGTGACCGCCCCGCAGTCCCCGCTCGGGTCGGGCCGCACCGGAAGCGGAAGTGGCGGCCCCGGCCCATCATGGCGGCGCCCAGCGCGGAGTGGCCGCGGCGGCGCTTCGGGCAGCGCCTCCTCACGGACCCCGCGCGGCTCTTCCAGCACAACGCCTGGTGCGTTCGGGGGTGCCCGCGGCGAGCCCCTCGCCGCGCCCGCCTGGCGGTGCCTGCGGCCGAGCGCTGCGGGGCGGCCCAGCCCTGACCCACCCGCGAGGAGCCGACCCCCGTGTCCGCGTTCGCTCCCGGAGCGGACTGGGGGGCTGTGGGAGTGGGGCTGGAGCCGGACAGCGAGGGGAGGCCGGGCGGGGAGCGGCGACCCCAGGCTGGGCGGTGGCGGAGGGGCGGGAGGGCCCTGCCCTGTGCGGGCGGTGCTTGGGGGTCCTGAGTCTTTGGGACTGATCCCTGGGGGGTCCTGAGCCTTTGGGACTGATCCCTGGGGGGTCCTGAGCCTTTGGGACTGATCCCTGGGGGTCCTGAGCGTTTGGAACTGATCCCTGGGGGTCCTGAGCCATTCTCGACTGATCCTGGGAGGGTCCTGACCCCTTGGGACCGATCCCCAGGAGGTCCTGAGCCTTCCTGACTGGTCCCCTGGGGGGTCCTGACCCTTTGGGACTGTTCCCCAGGAGGGTCCAGAGCCCTTCTGTGCTCTTCCCACAGCAGTGGGGTTTCCTCAGGCTCTCCTGATTCAGGAGATGTGTTTTGTTTTGCTTTGCTGCAGTTGTTTGATTGCTGTAGTTAATAAAGTATAATAATCAGTTCCTCCCAGAAACCGTTTCACCTGTGGGGTTGTGTGCCTGGACTGGAGCTCTTTATTTGGGCACAGCAGCTGTTTTAAGCACCCAAATTCTCTAATTTGCTGGGAACTGAAGGTGTTTTGCATTTTTTGAAGTAAATAGATCCACTTTTGGTCTCTGGCTGTTATACCCTGTGAAGAACTGGGCGTGTTTCACTTGTAATAAGGTCATATTTACATGTATCAGCCTGTCATTCTTTTTGGGACTATTCTGTACCAAAGGTACGTTACAAAAGCATATCCTCAATTTTCCCATGGAAACTCTTAGTAATCCAGCAGGTTTTTTAACATTTAAGGCTTTGTTTTGTGAGTTAAAAGGCTCATTCCTCCTGAGGCCAGAACTGGGCTTATTGCTCCTTGTATTCTGCTTTTCATTCACTTGTTTTAATGAAAAAAAAAAAGCCAAGTGAATCACTTTAATGACTGCACAGCTGTGTGTGTGTGTTATTAATAATTCTTAATGCTTTCAAGCTTCCTGCATATTTTCCTCATAATTGGGTTTAATTTACCAGTTACCTTCCAAATAACCCCACTGCCCTTTTTGTTTTAACTCGAATAACAGTTTAGTTTTCTGAGTGCTCTGGTGGTTTTACAGCAGGGATTTATTCCTTCTTGATTTGGCTGAGTGTCCAATAGGGAAAAGGATCAAGGGGCAGATTGAGGATCCCTTCCCTTGCAGTTCCATGAGTGCAGCTCCTTCAGGCCCAGGAGCCTCGTGTGCTGACAGCTGGAATTTGGGGTCACACCTCCCTTCCTCTCAGTTTTAACTCTTCATTTACATCTCCTTTTTCACCACAGGGACAATGTAGAATGGTCAGAAGAGCAGGAAGCCAGTGCCAGGAGTAAAGTTGAAGAGAACAGCTCCCATCTACTGCCCCAGGATAAACAAGGTACTGTGGGAGAGTCTCCTCTGCTGTTAGTGTCCCTTGTCACCAAACCTCATTGATTGTGGAGTTATTGCCTTTACTTTGCTTCCAGCAGTCAGTCTCCTCTTGCTGTGGGGTGATCCTAATTCAAGATCAGCTCTTCTCCTTAAGAGGAGTTGATAAAGTGGTGTCCAAATCTGTCTCTACAGAGTGAACAAGCAGCATGAGAGTGATTCAATCACAGCCAGGAAAAAAAATATTATTTTCTCCTGAAAGTGTTTATCGTCAGGGATTCCCAAATTTTTATTTTTCTTGGCTCAGGGGGTATTTATGCATCCAAAATGTGGAGCTTACCTGAGCCTGAATCAAGCTCCAGGTGCACAGCTCTGTCACAGACCATCCAGTCCCTCAAACGATGGGGAAATGGTTCTTTGGTGTGGCAAGAAACTTGTCTGGTGATGATCTTAGTGTGCCCTGCCGAGCCCTGGGATGGATCTGCTCCCTTTGTTCCCATGAAATGGAGGGTGTCACCCTTAAGATGCAGCTCAGCACTGCTGGAGCTGTTGAGACACTTCCATATAGCTCCCAGTTGTGCTCACAATAGCAAATCCAATTATCCCAGAGAACAACCCTCCTCGTTTCTTGGACTCCCAGAAGCATCCAGCGGTTCCCATTGTGTTGGGTTCATTTTCCAATCTGGTTAGCATTAAAGGGTGCTGTCTGTCATGCTTTGAGAACCTATATACAACCGGGAAACTGGGGAGCAATTTGCTGCTGGAGCACTTTGTCAGGGCTCCATGATGTATTTCCCAGCCTGAACAATGGAGGGCCAGTCAAATGCTGATGGTTGCTATTCACTGGGAAGCGTGTGGAGACAATGGGATGGCTGAAAAGTAGGGAAGGCAGCCCAGGAAAATGTGCCTGAAGGGTCTGGGAGTTGGAGAATCAGAATGTCCAAGCCGGAGAACAAAGGCAGGCTCTTGGTCGTTATGGCTGAGTTTCTCTGTGCACTCCTTGGGGCTGCTCTGAAGGAGGAGAGGAGTTCTCTGGGCTGTGTGGAGGATGTGGAACAAAGAAAGAACGGGAAGAGTTCCTTGGTTTCCTTCTGAGGCTCCATAATTAGCCCCTGTGAAGTTCAGGGGGGCCCCCTGTTTCTCTTCCTGCCCTTTGTGAGCAGTTCCTTTTGTTTGCCCTCCTTCTGCGGTGTGAAGGGCTGAGGATGGGCTTGGCTTTGGGGGTGTCCTTACAAGCAGGAAAGTCAGGAGTCCTTATCAGGAAAGTCTCTGAGGAGGAATCTGGCTCGCACTACAATGTCCCCATGAGATCACACCACAAAAAGGGGCTGCAACAAGTGTGATGGCAACTTTTCTGGCTGAAAGTCGGCCTGAAAAATTAATATGGTCATTTATTTGCTTTCAGTCTGTTCCTTGCAGGGTCTTTTGTCAGCCAGCCCTTGTCTTCTTGGGTTTAAATTGTTGCTGATCCTTTCTTCTGGTGCTTTGAAAACACCAGGCTCTGAGTAAACGAGCTTTAAATAAAGCTTCCCCTCCTGTGGGTTGGGGTGTAACAGCTGTTCAACAGCAGCCAGCAGAATTTCACAATAATTTAACACAGGAAGAGCCCAATATCTTGTGGCCTAAAAATGTGGGTAATCCAAACTGGCTGGGCTGGGCTTTTGTCCCAGCACCTCAGAATAAGCAGCATCCCATTCCAAGGAATCAGGACTTTGTATTTTTGTGAGGTGAAAGAGCATTTCCAGCCCCAGCAGCCTCTTGTGTCCCTACTAATATATGACAATTCAGGAAGGATTGTGTCAGACTGTGGATCAATAACACTTCTTCCAGCAGCAGCAGTCCTGGAGTTCTTCCCTGAAAATACTGTGACCTGCAGTGGGATCGTGGCACAAACTCACTGCCCTGGTCTAATACCAGACATTAAAATTTCTTTTGGATTGGGGTTTAAGGACAGGGCTTCTTAAAAGGGAGAAAATCCTCGTAGTTGAGGTAAAGAGATTATTTTTATATATAGCTCTTTGTGCTGCAGGGGTAGATCCTACTAAAAATAGATCTATGACTGACTTGTGCTTCTTTGTTAAAGCCATTTTTGTCTATATTTGGCTGAGGCTGCATAGTTTTTCAGGTGTTCTGGGTTCACTTGACTGTCTCCCTTCAGAGATCTTCTGAACAGTTTTATGCTTTTAAAAGTCTTAATAAATCAGCTGCAGTTCAGGCAATGACAGTGATCTCCAACCAGCCTTATTCAGTAATGCACTGTTTTGCTGTGCAGAGATGGTTGAGGAATTCCATGTTACTGGAATGCAGTTGGGATCCCTGGCCATGGGTGTTTCCAGGTGATTCCAAGCATGAGATGCTGTAATTTTGGCCCTTAATTCCCAGGACAGAGAACTCATCACACTGAGGATTCAGAAAGCTACTTGGATTTTTAACTTCCCGTGGAAGAAATAGTTCCCCTAGAACTGCACTTGGTTTGAAATCTGGGAAATGTGTGGAAATAATTCTGCAGGTGACTGGAATTTCATTAGGCTGTGGCTTGGTAAGAGTTATTCCAGCTCCCTGTAATACTCATCCTGCTCCTGGAATGACCCACTTGGGGTGAAAATGCTGCTGCTGAAGTTCCTCCTGGTCACCTTCAGCCTGTCCACTCTTATTTTAATGGTCACTTCTGTTGTTTTAATTCAGGGAAGCACAGGACTATGGAAAACAAAGAGCTCCAGGCTGGACTGCAGCAAAACTTGTGGAAAACGTGCTGGAATCTGGGAGGATTCCGCAAACTGAGCTTTCTGCCAGGCCTGTGGGGTTGGCTAATTGTTCTGCTTCTCCATCTGAAAAAAAAGGGGCTCTCAGAATTCCTTAGGAGTTGTAAGTGCTTCACTCTCAGTGTCATGAGGCTCCAGATGAATTTTTCCAGTGAACTGACCCAGTCAGTGCTAGAGATGGAAAACCTGGATTTCTTCATCCCAGTGTCCTTCAAAGAGGGTTTTTCTGTTGCCTTTAAATCCTACCAGGAGACACAGAGTTTCCTCTTCTCTCTCTTTTTTTTTTTCCCTTTTTATGTCCTAACAAAGTGACAGTGAGGAGGCAACCTGAGTGTTTCCGTGGGATGGCAAATTTAAATAAAGGTGATTTTCAGCCGATAACCTTCCTTATGAAAGCAGGTTGCTGCTCAGAAGTCTGCAGCGATCCCTCACTGTCTGACCTGCCTCAACCCTGAGACCTGATGGTGTTTTTGTTTGTGTTCACAGAGGAATACGAGGTGAATGCTAAGAGGTACTGGGATGACTTCTATAAGATCCACGAAAATGGCTTCTTCAAGGACAGGCACTGGCTGTTCACTGAATTTCCCGAGCTGGCACCCAGCAGGAACTCCAGCCAAAATGGGGATTCTCTGTGTGAATTTAGTACCAAAGAAGAATCCAACAGTGAAGGTTTGGGAAGGTGTGAAAATGGCCACTGTTCAGTGGGAAACAGGACAGAGGGTCAGTTGAACCTGATCCAAAGCACAGCTGAGGTGTGCACAGAGGACTTGGCTGCACAGGAGCACAGGGAGCTGAAGCAGAGGGATGGAGATTACCCAGGATCAGCTGCATCTTACCGTGTGTTGGAGGTGAGAACTGGAAATCAGTCCCATGCTAAACCATCCCTTGTTATCAGGGTTATGTGACTGGGACAGAAAAATGTGGATCACTGGCAAACAGGGAGTGGTTGATTGCCTTCAGGCAGCAAAATGCAAAAACCAGAGGGCAGCTCTGAACTGAACTAAATCTGTGGGGATTCTTTTGGTTCAGGCTCTGAGTTGGCAGAGCAAAAAAGTTTAAAAGCCAAGCTACTGCTATCAGATGTTCAAGCAAGCATTTAAAAGTCATCCTTGGAAGGAACTGATTCTTTTACTTGTCTGGATAAGGTTTTCCCTTGTCATTTATCTTTTGTGCTGGCTCCTGTTTGCCTTGAGAGGTGTGAAACGAAGCAGTGAAACCAAGAATGTCAAGGTGCTCTTGGGTTTGTTCCTTATGGCCCAGGTGGTAAGAGGGAATCCCAGACTGATACAGGCTTTGTCCCAGAGAATTCTGTGGGAATTATAAATACTGGACTCCTGACAGCTGGTTGTGACCTTTTGCTCTGCCACCTCTACTAGTTCACTGCAGTTCTTGCTGGATTTGTTTGGTACTTTGTATTTAATGGAAGTCCTGCCCATCCAGGGAGAGTTAATATGAACTGTCCTGATCATTTAATTTAATCTGATGTTTGGAGACTTTTTCAGACTTTATTGCCAATGGTTACTGTCATGCTGAGCTGGTACTCAGGAGATTCTCTTTGTTGCCTGGCTGTAGAGAGATGATTTGGAATGATGGGCCATGCTGAAGGAATTCTTCTCACTGTGTACATCTGCTTTGTTTGTGCAGGTTGGCTGTGGGGCTGGGAACACAGTCTTCCCAATTTTACAAACCAACAAGTAAGTGGTGACAGGACAAGGGGGAATGGCTTCCCACTGCCAGAGGGCAGAGTTAGATGGGATATTGGGAGGGAATCCTTCCCTGTGAGGGTGGGCAGGCCCTGGCACAGGTTGCCCAGAGAAGCTGTGGCTGCCCCTGGATCCCTGGAAGTGTCCAAGACCAGGTTGGAGCAACCTGGGCTGGTGGAAGGTGTCCCTGCCCATGGCAGGGGGGTGGGACTTGATAATCTTTAGGGTCCCTTCCCACCCAAACCATCCTGGGATTCTGTGAAGTAGGTTTTTACCAGCATGATCCACCAGCCTCTGAAAAAACAATTGGAAAAGTGTTCTCTGAGATCTCAGTTTAAACCATCTCAGAGAAAAGCTGAGTGCAAAGGGTACCTTTGCCACCTGCAACTTCAAACTATTGTTGTTTGAGCTTGGAAATCTTTGGTCTTAGAATGCAACAAACAAAGCCTGCTGTGAGTTTACAGGTCTCATTCTGAAGGCATTTTCCTGCAGGCCTTGGTGCCTCTCCTTTTCCAGTGTTGATCTGCAGATGTTAACGTGGGAGTGATTTCTGCTGGAAGTCACATTTCTGTTTCTGTGACACCCTTGAATAATTTTTCGATGTGTTTTCAAAAGTGTTCCATCTATCTAGGAGTAATTTACATTAAACTTGCCACATTTTTCGCTTCTCTCCTTTAATGCAAAGAAAATGTAACAATCTTAATAATCTAAGGCTCTATTATTAAAGTAGATTCAGTGAAGAAAAAAGTGACTCACTGTAAATATATACACAAAATTCACATTTGCTGTCTCCCATTTTGTGTTTCCAGAAGGAAAAGGAAGCACTTCCATATGAGGACAGTGGGCATAAAGGAACAGTGGGAAACAAAAATGATGATTTTCTCTGCTTTCTTGCAGTGACCCAGGCCTGTTTGTTTATTGCTGTGATTTTTCTACAACAGCTGTGGATCTTGTCCAGGTAAACTCAGTGGCGATTTATGAAAAAGTGGGAAGTACCTGGGCCCAGTTGCCCATTAACACAGATCTCTCCCAGCTTCCAGCAGCTCTCTGGCTGTGCTGGCAGCTTTCTGTTTTTAGCCAGCCCTGCTGCTGACCCTAAAGCTGGAAAATGAGCCATCAAAGATCGTAGGAACGAGGGAAGTTGAAGTTCTCCAAATGTCACATCGGCAGCAGACAAGTCAAGGCAGACCTTCTCCCCCTGTGCTTGGCAGTGCTTCTTCTCAATCCAGTGCTCATTTAGCTGAGTAACTGCTGAACCTTGAAAACATTCAGGCTATTTTTTAACAGGAGCTGAAGCTGGGTTTGGTTTGTGTGTGTGCACTGCTGTCAGTTCTGGGAGCGTGGTCTGATTGCTCCAGCACAGACTGCTGAGGGGGGAGCCTGTTTGTGGAGCAGGAGGCTGGGACTGAGTCAAAGGACTAAAGCTGCTAACAAATTTCAGGTCAGAGCAGAACTGGGAATATAGGAAGTACCAAACGCCATCAGTCACTTGGTGAGATGAGAGAGCAGCACAGCAGCAGGGGCAGCACCATTTCATCCTCCTAACACAACCACTTCTTATAGCAGCAGCTCCAGAAAAATGCACAACTTCTTACAGAGGCCCAAATGTGGTTTTTGGGAGTGTAGTTTTAGGGAGCCAGGTTTGATATTTGGGGTATAAGGAATATATCTGCTTGTAGGTGAAATGAATATTGATTTCAGTGATGCAGAGAGGGGTCCTGATGCTCACACTTATGTAAAGGTTTCCAAGGTCAGGGTCTGCTACTGATGCTCTCGATTTCTCTCCCCTCAACTACAGAACAATGCAGAATATGATTCTTCTCGCTGCTTTGCCTTTGTCCATGACCTGTGCAATGACCAAAGCCCTTTCCCAATGCCAGAGGAGAGTCTTGACATTGTAATTCTTATCTTTGTCCTCTCAGCAATTCTCCCAGAGAAGTAAGTTTTAATCTTTGTGATTGCAGAAGGTAATTCTCCCACAGCTGGAGCTCTTTAATAGCCTCACGTCAAGTAAAATTAAAGTTTGTTCTGTTTCTGGTCCAGTTTTCCCACGAAGCCTCTTCTGTAAATGAAGTTTGCAGGTGCTGGGTGTTGTAACAGGTTGTGGCAGAGGACAGGTGTGATTTTGAAGTGCTAAGTGGCTGCAGGGGGTGCCTTGCTGTGGTCACTGCTCTGAACCTCAGCCACGCTGAGCGCTCAGCACCTGCCTGCAAAATACTCTGCTGGATTTTCAGGCTCAAAGGGTGGATGAATTTCTCACATGGGAGGTGGCAAGAAGGGAGGGGACAGGTGGAGAAAACTGTTAAGAAAAGTGCTGTGATCTTAGTGGGGCAGTGTGTTAACAACCTGTATTAGTCTCTCTTTTTGTTCCCTTTAGTTTTATTACACAGCATTTTCCTTTGAGTTCACTTATTGCTTTTTTATACCTAAACCAGGGGAGATCCTTTTGTAATCAGTGGAGAGCAGTTAATCCCTGCTGTGGCAGGCTTGTTATCCTTGTAGGAGAAAAAATACCCCAGAATCAGGGAGTGTCAGAAATAAAGAAGCCAAATCAAATCAACCCCCTTGAGACTGGGAGAGCTCAGAACCCTCCTGGCTTCGGGTAGCTCTTTGTATGAAGTTGAAACATATATTCCTATATATCGAGTTGAAACTTTATCCCATCTTTTTGGAAGGAAGCAAGCATCATTTTGCAGGGTGTTGAGCTGCTGAGCACTCCTGGTTTGTTCCTCCCCCTCAGGATGCAGAGCGTTGTGACCAGACTGAGCCGCCTCCTGAGACCAGGGGGGATGATTTTGTTACGGGATTATGGCCGGTACGACCTGGCCCAGCTTCGGTTTAAGAAAGGTATTTCCCTCTTCCCTTGGCAACTCTGGCCACATCTACTGGTGGATGATGCTTCTCTGGAGCTCTGTCTGCCCTATGTGGAGGCAGCTCATTAATTCCCTGGAAGCACAGCGTGTGCTTGTTGTTGGATGGCGGTTGTTGATTTTTAAGTGATAGTTGGTAACTGTTTAAATCCCTCTTGCCCTCAGGTCAATGTCTGTCTGAAAACTTCTATGTGAGAGGTGATGGCACCAGAGTCTACTTCTTCACGCAAGGTAGGAGGCTTGAAAACACCCCTCTGACAATCCAGAAACATCCTCTGACTCTCCTCGCCGCTTCTTGTCCCCCTGCCCTCAATTTTGGCCTCAAGCTCTTTCCAGCCCTGTCTTCCTTGGAACACTGTTAAGTGCCTCCCAGTTGAACCTGGGTTTGTCAGTTCCTGGTGCAGGTATGGTGAATTCCTTGGTGGAAGATCCTTTTAGAGACAAACTGGAGTGTTTGCTATCCTAGGAGGGGTGGGATTGGAGGAGCTCTCCTTGAGTCTTGCCTGTGGGTGATGGAAGGAGTTGGACACCGCTTGGAGGAACTTCCCTTAATATTCCTGTTCTCCTGTGAGGAAATCAGAAGGGTGTGGCTGAGGCACCCTTCAAGTTCTGCTGCTGCTTGGCGTTAGCAGGGGTGTTTTACTCTCCCAGTTTACCTCCAGTTGAACCTCCAGTCAGTGCCTGGTCAGTGTTAGAGCAGGGGCACAACTGCAGTGAACTGTTCCCTTCCCCACTGCCCAAGTCGTGTTTGTCACAACCAAATTGATGTTTAACGTGTGTTTGGCAAACACCTCAGGATGGAAAGCATCTGATAAGGGAGCACAAGCTGGGACCTGTCAGCCCTTTCCTACAGAAACTCCACACAAACCACGTGCTCCTGGGCAGTGCTGTGGAACGAGCTCTCTGCTGCTCAGCAGGGCTGGGGCTGGCTTTGCCCACAGCCACGGTGCTGGGGCACTCTCAGACTTATTTGCTTGGTCAGGAATACCTGCCAGTGGAAGTGCTGAAGCCTCCAGGGCTCTCTCAGTGCTTTGATTTGGCCCCAACAGGGTGTGGTTTTTAAGGATTGTTTTTTTTCCCCCCAGATTTAGCCTCAATGAATCCCATTCCCCTCCAGCCTGTACAGCACAGATCTTACTGCCACCATTTAAAGGCGTAGGTCTGATCCTGTTCTTTGCTCTTGCAGACTCTGAAATTCCTCTAGAGAGGGGGGGGAAGGGGAAGGAATGGATCTGTCCCTACTTGTCAGAAGATGCTCCTTAATCAGTTACTAGAGGCAGTGCCCACGTGTGAAACTGCTGCTGTTTTCTTTGTCAAGTTTCTGTAACTCTAGTTGTACTCCAAATAATTCTTTCCTTCCTTGCTAGAAGGAAAAGTTGGGAAAGTGTGATGTTAAACCCCCCTGGAACAGCAGTTAACTCTTGTTGGATCATCTCCCTGCCGGGGTGAGGCCGTGAGTTTCTTCTGGCCCACCTTTCAGCACAGCTCAGCCCTCACTTAAAAGGAACTATGGCCTCCTCAGTGTCCTTCTCTCTCTGCTTCCAGATGAATTAGACCATCTCTTCACCACAGCTGGGCTGGAGAAGGTCCAGAACCTGGTGGATCGGCGGCTGCAGGTGAACCGTGGGAAGCAGATGACGATGTACCGGGTGTGGATCCAGTGCAAGTACCGCAGGCCCACCGCCCCCCAGCCCTGAGACACGGCCTGGCACGTGGGGCTGGAGCCTCTCCCTGGCCAAGGGGCGTCTCCTCCTGCTTGAGATGTGGTTTGATGGAGTCCTGCACCCCCAGGAGCTCAGTGCCTTGCACGGTGCCTGGCGTCGCTGCCAGTGAGTTCTGCTGTGGATGAACGCCCTGAGAGTGGACCAAGGGGTATTTTAGGTGTCATAAAATATACTGAGTTGGAAGGGAACCATCAGGATCATCGAGTTCCAGCTCCTGGCCCTGCAAAGGACACCCCAAGAACCCCACCATGTGCCTGAAAGCGTTGTCCAAATGCTCCTTGAACTCAGACAGCTCTGGTGCTGTGCCCACTGCCCTGGGGAGCCTGTTCGGTGCCAACCACCCTCTGGGGGAAGAACCTTCTCCTGAGATCCACCCTGAGCCTGCCCTGACAAAGCTCCAGCCATTCTCTCAAGTCCTGTCACTGGTCACAGAGAGCAGAGATTGGTACCTGCCCCTCCACTGCCCCTCAGGAGGAAGCTGCAGACCCCAGTGAGGTCTCCCTTCAGTCTCCTCTTCTCCAGGCTGAACAAACCAAGTGCCCTCAGCCTCCTCATACGGCTTCCCTTCCACACCCTTCCCTATCCTCATGGCCTCCTTTGGACTCTCTAATGGTTTAATGTCTTTTTTTATATTGTGTCCCACCTAAACTGCCCCAGTCTTGCAGCTGAGGCCACCCCAGGTCAGAGGAGAGCGGGACAATCCCCTCCCTGATGGGATTTCCCAGGACAGGGATGTCCCTCCTGGCTGCCAGGGCACTGCTGACTCAGGGCCAACTGGCCCCCACCAGCACCCCCAGGGCCCTTTCCCAGCACTTTCCTCTCATTCCCAGTCTGTCCATCCATCTGGGGTTGCCCCATCCCAGGGGCAGAATCCGCCACTTCCCCTTATTGAACTTCCTATGGTTGGTGATTCCCAGCCCTCTGATTTATGGGGGTCTCTCTGCAGGGCCTCCCTGCCCTCGAGGGCATCAACTGCTCCTCCCAGTTTAGTGTCATCAGCAAACTTCCTGAAATGTCCCTTCAAGTCAGTAATGAAGGTGTTGAGGAGAGCTGGGCTGAGGATGGAGCCCTGAGGAGGTCGTGCTGCTGCTGCTCTGAGTTTGAAATTGTTATTAATGGTTTTAACAATGGAAGAAGTGGTCCTGGTGTCTTCCAGCAGCTGAGCAGGATGAGTAGCAAGTCACTCATACTCTGGATTTCCACATGAAACGGGAGAGCTCCGACCTTACCTCTGCCTTGTGTACTCCTGTCTTGTGAACAGAGAACATCCAAAGGCACTAAATCTGCTCTCCTCTGCAGCTGCTCACTGATGTGAACCCCTTGGCCAGCTTATCTCGTGCATCTCTCCTCTGGTCACTCAGGTTTGGGCCAATCCACAGGTTAAAACACATTGATCTGAGGGCAGGGACTGAGATTCTCTGTGCCAGCTTCCCCTGGATGCCTCGAGGTGTGCAGATCACCTGTGGAGAAAGGAGATGCTGCTGCTTTGCCCTCCCTGTCCACAGGGGTGTCCACCCAGGGAACCAGCACACTGTAGCTCAGCTGCTGTAAATTCCTGTCAGGGTTGAGGTTTTCAAAGGTTTTAGGGCTGATGCCAGTTTTGGGGCACCTTCAGAGCGCAGCATATCAGAAGCAGCCCATGGGACCAGGGTTTATAAATAATTACCTGCTTCTATTCTGCTGGCTGCAGCCCCCAGGTCACAAACTGCCCTGTCATGGTGATGTGCCAAACCCAAGCACACAAGACACTTGTCTTTGATCCAGAATCTGCAGAATATTTTTATTTCTGCAGTCTTGTTTAACTCCTTCGAGGAAGCCAACATTGTGGCTTTGTGGAGGTATTTCCCCACCTTTGACAGCAAATATCTTTTATCTCAGCCTGTTTTCTTTTGTTATTTTCAGGGTGTGGTACAACAGGTATTAGAATAAATTTTGTGGTCGTGCTTTTCAGTGCTGGTTTGATTCATATAAATCAGGCTTGCCCAGAGCACCTGATCTGAAGGATTTGGGCCACCAACAGGTAACTACAGTTTTCTTTACTGTTAACCATGAGTCTCACAAGTGCCTGCCCTCAGCACTGAAGGGAAAAAAAGCCTTGGCTGGTATCTCCTCCCTTCTTTTAGTTCATGAAATAACAAGATGTGTTGTTTGGGCACCACTGGCTGAAGAGCAGTTCCTGTGTGTTTTGTCAGACAGAACACTCGTGTCTGTAGCCTGCAGTTGGCCAAGAGTAACTGCCAGCTCTACAGACATCTAGGTTGTGAAATAACTGCTGTCTTGAACCAGAGGAGAAAGGGTAAAAAAGCTGAGGAAATGTCATTGCTGCCTTTAAAGAGTCTGCAGGAGCCCTGGAGAGGCAGAGCAGGAACACCCTGCTTTGGGGAGCGCTGGAAGGGGCTGGGGCGATGCTTCCTGCCGGGCATGTGGCTGCTTGATGAGTGCCTGACTTCTGCAGCACTGTGTCACCCTGCAGGTATTGCTTTGTCTGCCACCTGAAGGCTTCTGGGTGGGACTTTTCAGCCCTTCCTGGGAAAGGTGACCCAGGGAATCCACTCACACCACTGCAGGGGGAATGCACCGTTGCTTTTTTATGTATCTAACTCTTAAATAATGTTGAAAGGGGGTCCCATTCTGGGAAGAGAATTCTCGTTCAGTTGGTTGTGCTGCGTTTTCTAAAGGGCCAAGAGCCTTTCCAGCACCTGCAAATGAAACAGGAGGAGATAAAGCTCTGCTCTTGCAAAGCTCACTTGGCTTCTGTTGGGCACAAACCTGACCCAGCCGGGGAGCTGTGCAGTCCCTGCCGTGTTTTCATGCTGAACCTACCAGGTCTTGGTTCCCTGGCAAGGCTGGCACCTCAGGCAAGGTCTAGGCAAAACACAGCTCAAGGCAGCAGCTGAGCAAGCTCAAACCTCCTCAGCTTACCCAGGCTCAGAGTCAGGCTTAGCCAGAGTCCTGTTGGACGTGACGTGAGTCGTGTCCCAGCTCGGTGACAGAACTCCCGTGTGGTCCTGGGGCCTCGGGCACTTCCCTGGGGTCCTTCCCCTCTTGGTCCCTGGAGGGAGGTCTCGTCCCAGGATGGCTTCATCTCCCTGGAGGAAAAATTATTGACTGGGGTAAACAAGCAGCATAATTAGTGTGAATTAAAGTAATTTGAAAAATGCCTTATTAATCATCCAAAGGCTTGTAAGCAGCGCAGCAAAATATGTTTTTAATTATAAACATGATTTATGTAAAGTTGATGGGCCTCCCCTTTAAATTTAAACTCCAGGATGGGAGAAAATGAAGGCTAGTAATTTATTTGTTTCTACTTTCAAGACTCCATCCCAGTTGCCTCGCCTGGCTTTGACTTTGGGCTTTGTGCAAAAAACTCGCAGTGCTGCGAGCCTGGAGCCACTGAAGTGGCTCTTTGCCTTTCTGAATGCTCTTCATTCTGCTGGAGTATTTAAGCAATCACTCAGCAGGGCCCATGCTGGGCAGGCGTGCTTTTGTTTCCAGTGCTCTTGGTGGTGTTCAGAAAGCAACAAGTTAATGGCCTTGAACTGAGCCAGGCCCCCCTACAGACAGACCCTGCCTGAGCTTCCCTCCTTCCTCCCGGCCTGTTCCCCTTCCTCCTTCCCTGCTGCTCTCCTTCCACTCCAGGCCTTGCCTCCCACACAGGTACCCCAGTCCTGACTTGCAGCAGCTCCTGCCATTCCCACCTTGGCCCTGCTGAGCCAGCTGGGTTGCACAACCCCTTCCAGCACGTTCAAAGGAAATCTCCAAACTGGCTTTTACTAAGTGCCTTCGGTGGTTTCTTTTTTTTTTTTTTTTCTCTCTTCCTTTTTAGCAGAGTAAGGTTAACTTGAAAGCCTTTCTGAGCAGCATATCTGCTCTGGTTTTTGTTCCCAGCATTCCAAGTCCTGTGGTCTGTGGCTCACAGGCAATGCCAGCGTGGCCTGTTGAACCTCCCAAGCAGAGGAGATGATTTCATAGCTCTTCACTGGCACTGCCCTGGTGATTCTGGAGCCAGGCATTGTTACATTTTGGAAAGTCTGGTCCTGGCCCTTGCCAGAGGATGGTGGATTTCCTTGGAGATTCCAAGATTGTTTTGGCTGGAAGGGAACTTTATCACCACCTATTCTGACCCTTGACATAACCCTTTTATGTAGGGATTATGGCATCCAGCCTGTGACTTCGACTTGGAAGTGGTCCTTCAGAAAGGGTTTTTGATCCAGCCGTGATGCTGAGGGCTCCAGTCAATGGCAGAGAACCCCTTTGCCTCCCCAGGTACATCATTCCTCTCCCAGCATCCTGATTTCACAGATGGGCTGGAAATTGGGTGGCAGGAGGGAACAGGGGAGGTGAAGAGAACAAGGAGCCGGGGGGGTATTTCTGACGCTGTCACTTCAAAAATAAGTATGTTGTAAATTCCACTGAAAATTGGAGCTTTCTCAGGATCTTCCTGACAGCACAGCAAAGTGGGAACAGCAGTTATTTGTAGTGATTTCGGTTGTTACCACAGTAATCATCAAATTTGTCTGACCAGGGGCATGTGGGACCAGTCACAATTGTCTTCTCCCCCAAATCTTCAGCTCCACCTTCTCAGGGAATGCCACCACCATTTGTGAGTTGTAGAGCTCCAGGATAAACGAGACCTGAATGATTTCACTAGAACAGGGCTGTGAGCAGAAGGAACCTCCATGTACACACACCAGCAGCTTCTGGCACTGCATCCTAACGAAAGCTGGAAGAGTTTCCTTCTGTCGTTGGCGTTGGGATGAGCCCTGGCTTGTCCCCACTGGATTCCCTGTGGGAATCCCAAACCCAAACTGCACTGAACTGTTATTTTCCTGAGCACAAGTGACAGATGCACAGGTTCAGTGCCCAGAAGTGAGGGTGAGGCTGCAGGGCTCAGGCTATTTGGGGAGTGTCCTTCCATCCCTGAACACAGAGGGAGGGAAACCGAGTCCTGCAGCCTTTGTTCTCCTGGTCAATCAGCTGGATCTCATTTGTCAGAGCAGTGCCACCACTTTTGGTTTGGTGCCACACTGGGGGAAATTAGTCCAGGAGAGAGGGTGCACAGGGAGGATCACTTTTGCTGCTGTAGCTGTTCCTCTGCCTTGGGTGCCTGGCACATGTCCTTGTGTGCAGTGTCCTTAGACACTGATTCCAGCAGAACACTCTGATTTTAACTGTGTTGTCATATGTGTTTTCAGGGCAAGATAAAAATTACTAGAAAAGCTAGGGAGAATTACTAAAAATTA